TGGTAATCCTCCGAATGAAGCTACAACAGGCTAAAGGGTTGACATTGGTACAGGTCTATGCGCAAACTTTAGAGAGAGAATATGAGACCTTCCTTGAGGAAGTGCAATGAGCTCGAATACAGAGTCCCTCATACTGATGGGCAATTTTAATGCGCATGTTGGAGTAGACGCTGAAAAGTGGAACGGCGCGACTGGGAAAAACGCCCTATCGACCTCAAAAATAAAGGCATGAAGTTTCTGCGGTCTTGCGCTAACAACGGATTGTCAAACATTATATTCGGTGGACACGAGAGCAAAATTTGCAAACAGCATCGCACGACGGTTTCAACAGATCTTAATGATGAGAACTGATATTGAAACTGAGTGGCAGCTCTCTAAGAGCGGCATACTCAAGGCTGCCGCCGAGTGTTGCGGATATAAACGAGTTGGCGTGCCGCCTGGAGGTCAGAAAAGATCTTCATGGTGAACACAAGAGGTACAGCTGGCAGTTAAACAGAAATAAACAGAGTTTCTTCAAACATTTCAAGAAATGGCTTGGATACAAAGAGCTTTCTTCTCGCGTGCAATATGCCGAGGCACGCAAGGCGGCTCGCAAAGCCAAAGCTGGTACCTGGGAGAAGTTCGGTGAGGTGTCGAATTTCCACATAGCAAAGAAAGTGTTCTGGCAGACCATCCGCCGGCTCTGAGGTGAAAAGAAGGGCAGTCTCAGAGTCTTGAAGAACAGGTCTGGACACCCTCTGACCAAGGATGATGACATTCTTCGGCGATGGAGGGATTACTCTGAAGAACTCCTTAACACCGCGCAACCGCAGGAAGACTCGCCTGTAGAGCAGCAGGGAACGGGTACTACTATCCGTGCAGATGAAAATACACGCGATGTGAAAAGCTTGAAAAATGGAAAGGCTGGTGGAGTTAATGAAATCCACCCTGAAATGCTCAAGCGATTAGGCGAATAAGGCATGTGCTGTCTTACAGGTGTGTGTGTGTGTGTGCGCGCGCGCGCGCGCGCGAAACTGCCATACTACGGAGAAGACACCAGCGGGCTGGAGAAGGGGAGCTGTTGTACGCCTATTCAAGAAAAGAGACCACAAGGAATGCTGCAATTATCGGGGCAATGCATCATTGAGCCTCTCGGGCAAGGTCTACGCAAAGGTACTGGAAAGAAGGTGCCGCAAAATAACTTACTCCAAAACAGAAGAAAAGCACCGTGGCTGACGACC